AATAATAATAATAATAATAATAATAATAATAATAATAATAATAATAATAATAATAATACGGGCAATGAGAGTGTTAATACAGTGCGGGAATTGGTACGCAATTCATATAGTAATCAAATAATATTCACATAATATATTAATAATCTGCAATGACTGTCGATACAAACTTCTTTTAATTGCGCACCAATTCCCACACTGTATTAATTAATGCTCTCATTACCCGTATACTCTATTATTATTATTTTTCATTATAGTAATTCATTCATAGAGAAATCTATTCAGAAACATACTCGTACACTGAAAGGAAAGATTGGCTGCTGCAACAAATTAGATAGTAAAATATGGTATAGCATTTTTAATTGGCTGCTGTAATCAATTCATCATTAAAAATGCTTTGTCATATTTAGCCAATCTTTTCTTTCAGTGTAAATAAGAATTATTAACAAAAATTGTAAAACACATATAATTTATAACATTATATACACGCTACATACAGCGTAAATACGATAATGATAGTTAATGATAATCATCATATCATATAATATAATATGAATTATATGCGCTTCTCTCCACGTAAATAATAGCCAGGAAAATGCATACACTTTTATACCTCTTTTCATAAATCCTTCTTCTCTTTATAAGCGCTCGCTTTGTGTGAAAATCTTGCCAATTTTACGTGTGGACGGAAATATGTTCTCGGATTCTCATGAGCGTTCGCGCGAGAAGTACCCGTTGTTCCCGGATAACCTTTTGAACCTTTTATTCTATTTGCAGTTTTGCAACAACCGATATTCCAAAAGGGACTTCTGAATAAAACATGCGACAGCGAACTTCACTGACGTAAAAAATAGATTTTCCTGTGCAAACAATATGCGCAATCATAATGCACGTTCAACGAGTGAATTTGCGCATTGAAGATTTGTATGTAAAGCTTAAAAATACTCTGCAACGCAATGATATAAATTTTTCTGTTCCATTTGCCCTCTTTTCTACGCTTATCTTTAAAACAAGAATGTTTATCATAGCACTTCTTCTGTTAGTAAACAATTTTCATAAATAAATATTAAATAGCAAATGGATTGATAAGATGATCTAATTAAATAATACTTGTTATCTAAGATACATATAATTAAAAAACTTATAGATTTGATTTAAATGATATATTTTCAATACATATTTTGAAGAAAATTATTTGAAATTTATCGCATCAAATTTTTGTCGGGCGTTAAAATTACCATTATCATGACCGTATTCAACTCATATCTGCGCATTATAAATATTTTGATTATAAATACATTACTAAAAGCTGATATTGTCATCGGTGCAAATTTTACAAAAGAAAAATAAACATTCATAACCCAATAATAAAAATATTGAGAATTAAAATATAAATAAATATAAATAAATAGTGAGAATTAAAATATAAACAGGTGTAAAATTTAAATGTCAAAATTTTAATTTAATTTTTTGTTTCTACGATATCTTCCTTCAGCGATGAAACAAATAATCGGCGATTACAAATTCCACGAACGGTTTATTGCTATGATATTAATTTGAAAGTTAACTAATTCCATATATAAGTTGTAAATTTATTTGATGTATCCCATGTACTATCAGAAAGTTTAGTAAAGGCGAACACGATTGAGAATTCACGCAAAGTTATCAGTGATCTCGACCGGTGATGCTTTGATCATGTATTGAATCAATTACACAGTCAAAGCAAGAGGTCGTTGGTCGCAGATGAATCCTGAAACTCTGACAGCCCGCATCCATCCTGGATCAGCGATTGATCGATGTCCTACTTATTCGACAGTCCGTCAGGATTGTTAAAAAAAATTCGCGAGCTATAAGGATAACCGAAACTTCATCTCTCATGAGATTTTCTATTGAAATCATAAGTTGTGCGAGTAAAACTTTTAATAGGAGGCTATTAAAGTTCTTAATACGGCATAACTTATCGTTTTCGACAAAATTATTATCTCGCAACATCAACTTCCAAGATAATTATTTTTCTTAATGTAATTATGCTAATGTAAAAGTTATTGTCAAACTCTTGTAAAGTTTCCTTTGTGTATAATTCATATAACATTGCGTGTAATGCATTTTACTAAAAAAAAATATTATTCCTGATTAAAAATAGAAAAAATTAGAAATAATAAGATTATCTCAATTCAATATAGAAATATAGTTGTAAACAATAAGTTTATATATAAGTTAACAATAACTCTAATTAGTAGATTAGTAGATTACTTCCACGAAAATAAAAAATAATTTTGTCTGCTGAGCACAAAGAATTGACTCAATAAATTATAATAAGTGCAAAATAAAAAATGATACTATTATCATATCAAACTGTGCACGAAAAGAACGATTGTGCTGAAAGAGCGAAAAATTTATCGAGCGAGATTAAGAGATCCAGAAAAATCCAAATCCTTATCCAGATAGCAAGACAAGAGTGTGCAGAGCGATTATCACTTTGATCGAGTGATAAGAAATGTAGTATAATTAAAAATATATTATAATTATAATGTCTTTTTAACCCTAGCTATATACATACTCTTTTTCTATCTTTGGCCTTGATATATACTCGGGTCTCTGGGACCCCATATCTATATTTTTTATCGAAACTTCCGTAAAAATGAACATATTCAATTAATTTTTTTTCAATCGATAGAGAATTAATTAAGTCTCCGTAATATGTAAAAATCGATAGAATTGAGGAGATACTTCAGAACATATAAGGTGTCCAATAATTGTTTTGACGGAGTTTGTGGAGCAGACATGTAGAGCAGACTAAATGGAAAATCCTCTATCATTTTGCAATTTTCACAATAGTTAAGAGCTCTAAGAATTTTTTTAGAATTTTTTTCAGAATTTTTTAATTTTCTTATGTTGAGAATAAGAAAAAAATAAGAAAATGCAGTACTAAAAAGTTGATAAAAAATTCTGAAAAAATTCGTAAAATTCTATGAAAAGAAAATAAACAATCTCTTGCAGTTTTTCTGTAAAGTTGATAGTATTTGAGTAAAAAATTATTGAAGACCAATTTTTAGTAATTAATATCTTGTTAACTATTGCAAAAATTGCAAAATAGTAGAGGATTTTCCGTTTCAGTTTAGTCCACTCTACATGTCCACGAACTTCGCCAGAGCAAGATTATCAGAAATCTTATTTTCAAAGAAAAAGAAAAGTTTAGAAAGTTCATGAAAAAAATCTCAATTTAGCACATTGCATTGGGATTTCTGGGATCTCAGTGTGTATAGCTACGGTTAATATATTACAAATTATCTTTAGTCTTTACAAATTATATATTACAAATTATCTTTAGTCTTTAATCTAAAATTAATATTAACGCTTATATCTAATCTTGACAGATACTTGAGAGATACTTTAAATGAAAAATTGTGAACCAAAAAATTCTTTAAAAATATAAAAAATTATAAATACGACTGAATAAGTTATTTAAATCATTGACATTAATATTTTCAATAAAGAGAATCAATAGAAATCAAAGATGAAATGATATCGACTAATATACATACATGAAACATTAAATACGTTAAACATTTAAGAAAACATTTTGAATGAAATTACAGTGTGATACTCAACAATATGTGCTTATCAAAATAATTGATCGTAGCAAAATCAGTAAATCCGATATACTTATATTTGATTTATCTAATCTAGATTTCTTAACAAATCATGTCGGTCGTTGGACTTTTTATATAGAAGAGGGGTGATGCAATTAAAAATCAGTATTACATATAAATTCGTTTCCATGCGATTTCTAATCATTCAGACAGTGCTCGTACAATGGCGTTAAGAATTTTGTGTCTTCTCAGCCTTTTAGCATTTTCTCAAGGTGAGTAATAATTTTTCCCGGGTTAATCAATAATCATTCATTTAAGTGAATACAAATAGCTCTCTTAGAAGTAGATGGAAGAAAAAAACGTTGTCGTATTATTCAAATAAATGATTTTCTGTGATCCGTCTATCAATCGATCATTAAATATAAATAAAAATATGATAGGCGCAAAACAGTGTATTATGATCTTAGATGAAACTCTGCTGGAAGCTTGCTAATTCGAAGAATCTGAAATTCACTATTAAAATGCATACACTCTTACTTATTATAATTCAAATCTTTATAAAACTTGTTTTTTTTAATTCTTTCAAATCTTTCAAATCTTTACAAAACTTGTATTTTTTAATTCTTTTAGCTTCATTTTACAAATAGTAGTAATGATTTATCATGCATTATATTGCAGCCGGACTCCAGCCACTTTTTGATCCCAAAATCGTAAATGGAGAAAATGCTAAAATAGGCGAGATTCCGTATCAGGTAGATATATTATATAAAACATACATTTATTATAGAAATAGATATTAATATGTATAAAATATGTATATATTGTAGTATAATTAAATTCTCGAATTGATGTTGCACAAAAAATTCACACAAGAAAGATCGAATTTGTTAATCAGCATTCAATATAGTCTTCGCCTGCTTTTAAACAACGTTTTCATCGTTTATGCAATTCGAATGTCCAAGAAAAAACTTCTTCCGATTTGCTTTAAATTTCCAGTTCAGTGTACGGCAGGAGCCATTAGATAACACAGCCTCAAATCTCATTACAATTTTTAATTTATGAAAAAAATCAACATTAAATCAGGCGTTAACACTCATTCTAAGGAAGATCCTCATTTCATTAAAAGATGAAATGATCAGAAGCCACTTTCCTTAAACTCAAGCTTAATGCCTAATTTAGCACCTCACTAAGTTTTTTATTTCCTAAATTAGAAATTGCAATAAAGAAATCAAGATATGAGAATATCTCAATGTGTCTTTCAAGAATCCATTAAATTCTGATGAGAAAATTTAATACAATTCGGAGAAGCATTCGATTCATTGTATGAGTGATGTAAATGTTACAAAGCGATATATATTAAATAACGGTGTTAATAAATGTTTTAATAAATATCTTCGATCTTTTTTTGAATCATTGAATGATCTCAGTTCGAGAACTTATCACGTATTGTATATATATCATATAATATAAAAAATATATAAATATTTTTGTGTGTGAGTGTAATTAATCTTTAAAAAACAAAGATTTATTTTTAAAATCTGTTAATTTCCTTGAGTAAGGTTTGTTATAATTTGTTATTTCATTGTATGTTATTTGATTGTTATTTCTCAAAATGTGACTGTTTTAGCTTTTATTAGCTTTTTTAAATTAAAAACAAACATGGAAATATTACTACAAATTAGAAATACTATGATTTTCATAGGTTTCTCTTCAATACACAGAAGTTTCCTTTCACTTTTGTGGCGGCTCAATCCTGAATAATAATTATGTCATCACGGCAGCTCATTGTGCTGAAGCGTAATTTTATTAATATTATTCTTTAAATAAAATAATTGCGTATCACGTTAATAAACTTATTAGTATACATTTTTTTACATATAAATATTACTTTGTTGATGTAAGAAATGTACAAGAAATGTAATATACGTTTATTATATATATATATATATATTTCAATAAAAATGTGAACAATTAAATTTTTTGTGTTATAGAATAGGAGCACCAAGTAATGTAAAAGTTATTGCTGGCACTATCAATTTAATTAATCCAAAATCAGAACATAATGTCATAAAAATCATTATACACGAAGAATATGATTCTCTTAATTCTTGGATTAATGATATAGCTTTATTGCAGGTAGGCATAAATTTCTTTTTCACAAATATTAGGCTTCTTATAAATATTTTTCTTATAAATATTTATAATTAAAAATTATAAATCTCAAGTAAAAACTGTTTTTTTTTTTTTAGGTCGAAACTCCTTTCATAATATCTAAGACCGTCGGATTTGTTCCTTTGCCACCAAAAGGTTTTAATGTTAAAGTCAATGATGTAGCCGTTGTATCGGGATGGGGCAGACTCTGGGTGAATCTCTAGTTATTTTAAATACCTACCTACATATTTAACTGTATATCTATAATTTTCATGTTGATACACAAGATATGATTATTTATGTTTTATTTTTATAATATCTTGATATTTAGAATATAGAATTACAATATCCAGTATACAGGAAGGAATACAAAGGAATGAGAAGAAATTAATATTATAGCTCAAAGATAGCAATTGTATAAATTATTATGAAATTACAGCAAGGAGGACCAACCACTGTTAGACTACAACGAGTCAACATCTTCATCGCTGATCGCACCTACTGTCAATACATATACAAGCAAATGAACTACAACATTTATCCCACACAAATTTGCGCATATGATTCATCAATCGAAAAAGGATCGTGTCACGTAAGTTTTTCTTAAGATTTCAGTTCTAATTATTGGTTACTCTATTTATAATATTCTCAGTAATAATTTAATCGTGATTTCTTAAAAAGAAGAAAATATTTGAAATTGTGATAAAGAAAATACACAAAACATTAAATTTGAGTTAGAATTAATTTTGTTTAAATTTGAATTAAATTTAAAAAGACATCTTGTTATTTCCAGGGTGACTCTGGTGGCCCATTGACTGTTGGAGGAAAACTCATTGGACTGGTATCCTGGGCAAATGGTTGTGCTAGCACCTCTTATCCTACTGTATACACGAGTGTCATCGAATACTTGGATTGGATTACAGCTAACACAGCCTAATCCAACTTTTGCGTCTATCTATGATTCATACTCTCTCCTTCGTTTTGTATAATTTTTTGTAATTATCAATACTTAAAATCCAGGAAAAAAGGACGTTTTTTTTTTTTTTAATGTAAAAATCGATAACGGCATAAGGTGATAATGACATAGGGTTGTACATAATAAGTGCCCTCAAAATTCTGTACACATTTTCGATGAAATAAATTAATTCTTTCAGCAAGAAAACACTGACAAAGTTAGTCTGCCTGAAAAGACTGCAGCGAGGAATTATCGCGCGACAAGTGCCGTTCATTTTATCTATCACGATTATTACGAATCAAAATCCAGAGAGACTTTGATATAGAGCTATGCCTGCTAGTTAGTGCAAGAGGTCGGATAGAACTCGGCTCTGTCGTGAAATCAATACACCATGACCGCGCGGTGCTCACGTGTTGCTCTTATTTCCGGCAATACTTGGCAGAGCGGAAGCGGTCGATGCTCACATTTTAACGATAATTGACAGTCATGATCGTAGCGGCGTCTGTATTTGATAAAATAGATCATAAATAAAAGATATTCGTTAATCATGTCATTAGTAGCTCGTAAACAATCTTATTATTTCCTTTATGATGTCTAATGATTTTATGATTGTGAGAAAAAACAGAAAATGATAGGCAATGTTCTTTTCGAAAAACCAGATGCACACACCTTCAAGATTTATAACTGAAAAAAAGATAATCAAGAATAAAAAAAGGAAGCTGCATCCTCGAGAAGAAAAATGATATAAAAAATATAAAACTTATCATATTTGCTTTTTTTCCTAGCAAATAAAATAAATAACTAATAGCAAATGTTAAAAACTTTCCAAATAAGAACAGGATAAGCTGCAACTGCAGTGAGGCGATATTCGACAAGAAAACACGAACGTGAGAGAAATCGAATTCATCCCGAATTCTATTCTGTCACTGTATTTACATTGCTAATGAAATATCATTTCTGCTTTCACTGTTCTCCGAGCATGATAGGCTGCTACGTTGCTCTCAGATTTTGTTTTATGACAATAAAAGGCCTAATAATTGTTCATTTCTGACGGAAATGATTATTAAGTACGAACCTCTATTATGAAATTGCTCTATTATGAACCTTCTTCAGAGAACATTTATTGCTTTATTTAAAAAAATATCCTCGATAAAATGACGGAACTCAGCTACTCACTTTCACTATTTGTATAAAAACTTCATAATTTTACAATTTTACTGGCATAATTATAATAATAAATCTTTCATCAACCATTAAACTCTCAGAAATTAATTTGTCGCGTAGAGACGAACTAATTTCCGCTCCAGTTACGTAACAAATGTTATAAGCGGTATCTCATCATATCGTGCATAAATATTCCCGAATAACTTCACGGTTCAGAACGCATACTAAACACGGTATATTTACTGTCGGTTGGCCAAAATAAGATGTATAATATATAAGTACACACACACATACTGCGAACACTATATTCCATAGCCTAACTATCCGAGCAAATACACAAACTTGTATAGTTTGCAGAGCTTATATACCTCCTAGTTCTACAGGGTTAATTTCCACAATATTACAGCATATTATGAAGTAGCCACATACAAAAGCATTATTCTCTTTCATAACTGTACATAGTAGTATTTACAATCATGTCAAAAGCAATGCCTTTGCGTAGCACATAACTTTAAGATAATACAATACTTAAATGCAAATAAGAGAATACTTAGCATTACTTTCTGCTTCAAAAATATATAAATAAAAAATAAAATATTCAAATATATATAAATATAAAAATATATATGTACGAATATATATACAAAGACTGCCAATTAAGTATAATAAAAAAATTCAAAGGAACACGCAACGACTTGTTTAAATATAGATCTAAATTATTTATTATTAAAATATAAAATAAAATCAAATAATTTTGCATAAAAGAAATATTTTAGAAGATTCAGCGTTCATTCGCAGAGTTGTGACCTCAATCAAATCATTTAATTTGCATTCTAAAAGTAAATAGAAATATTATATGATATATGTATGTATAAGGAAAATATTTATTTTAATGTCTGAACGAAACTCTCAAGAAGAGCTTCGACAGAACGAAGCTCTTTCGCGATCAATTCGACATCGCGCTGTCTTATTCCTTTCCATTTTTTTCTTTCTCTTTCATCTTTTTATACATCTTACGACTTCCCTTTTATTTCTTCTTCTGAACCCGCAAAGCAACCTTGGATGAGTCGTCGCGACTCAATTTTATTGGAATTTTATCGGAATAACTACTGGAATATAAAATTGTAAGTTTCAGCTCGTGAATAAGTTAATGCTTTATATTAATCAGGAAATATGACAGGAAATAGCAAAATTCTATAAATTATGAAAATAAATCACGAATTAAATCAAGCTTCTTTATAAAACTCTATTAAATGTAAGAAAAGTGTTCTCGATAATCTTTCAATTGATTGCAGGACATATAGTTTTATAATATTAAATATAACATTCAATATAAATTTTTAAGTATAAATTTGAAATAAATGCATTTTGCTACTTAGCATTGTACATAGATGTTCAAAGTAACTTTCAGATGTTAACAAGTTTATTGTAAGTTCCACTTTGATATTCTCATATGCACGTACAACATTAACCAGTGAAGCATAATTTTCATCGAAATGTTTCCATAGGGCTTTTGGTTCATTCTGTGTAACGATTATATACGATCGTTAAATTTTGCAATAAATACTCACATATTTTCGATATGTACATAATGGTTATATGTGTGTTCGATAAACCTTGTTCAAATATCAAGAATTGACAAATATTTTGTGCTAAGAACAAATTATGTTATATACAAAATTAATTTACAAAAATACTCTAATGCGTCTACAAAAGCTTAACAATAAAAAAATTTGTAACTAATTGTATCTGGTCTTAATTACAACAGAATATATATATATAAATTTTATATACATATATATAAATTCTAAGAAAAAATTCTCTCCGTGTATAATAATGATCATTTATGAATACAAACACATACAAAATTTCTAGCAATAAATTATGTATATGCCCTAAATAATAAAATTTTGAAATCGTTCGTACTAGTAAATATCTGTCGACATCCGAGTGTCTGACTATCGTTGATTTTTACTACTTTTATAGTATTAAACGAGATTTTAATTCTATTAAAAACGTGCAGTGTTTTGACACAAGAATGTTTGAGAAGAAATGTAATTATAGATAATATTCTTGTACACAACAGTCTTTAGATGATGGATTCACGATTACCGGATAAACTAAGTTTGCTTTTGCTATTGAAAGTAATTATATTTAGAGGCAGCTATCTCGGAGAGACATGAAAGCTCATGTTTCCAACTTACGATCGAGTAAACGTCCACATAAATGGATTTAAACGAGCCTTCAAAATCATAAATCATAAACTTGAAATAACTTGCATCTTCAAACGTTCTAATATCTATTCTTGATATAGTCTAAACTCTTCCTCGAATATATGTAACGGATTGTACAGTAATAATATAAAATATTCGCGACGTGCATTAAAATAAAAAATTGACTAAATATGGTATAGCATTTTTAATTGGCTGCAGCAGCCAATTTTTAGTTGTGTTAGCCAGTTAGCCTATCGAAATCGTACTGACATTGCGAATAGGTTAATGTAATGTAACCAAAAATTGACTGTTGCAACCAGTTAAAAATGCTGTTCCATATTTTACCATCTAAATTGCTACAACAGCCAATCTTTTTTTTCAAAAAAGTGCAAAAAAATACAGATTATAAATTCCTTGTCTTATACTAAATCTTTCCATTTTATTATCGCAATGGAATTCCATTGCGTTTCCATAGCGAAATCCATTAAAGAAGTTCTCGTAAAAACGAGTTTCAGAGGAAAGCGTCACATTTACTACGAATTATACCTTCGCATTTTTTCAAATTAAATATTCTTTTCAGGAATGTGTGCCTGACAGTATCCACCCGATATGAAATTGCACGGCATACGCAATTAAAACCTTGGCACCAGGCCAATCAAATCTTTTTACTGCTTTATCAAATATATATATAAGATTTTTTTGTATTATTAGTACCAATGTTATGAAATTTTTCTGTTGGATAAAAGCTTTATCCAACAGAAAAATTGTGTTTCAAAAATTGTGAAAAACAGAATTGTGTTTAACAGAATTTGTAAATATTAAATTTAAATAATATTTAAATAATTATAATTTATTCACAGCGCAGATATGATTAATGTTATTTATACCATCGCGATAAAGTTAAGATGAAACAATATTACTTCATTGTCAGAAAAAAGCAATTTCTTTGTTACATGGTCCCTTATATCATTAAAGTTTGAAGAACTCACCTGCACATGAAATCGATTATAGAACTTTTCTTTCGTTCTCTAGAGACCGTTGGACTTTAAAATACTATTGTAATAGGATATATATATATATATATATATTTATACAGGGTCGCATTTGTAGAATTGGATGTATCATCAATTGAATGTCGTGTCGATATTCAAATCGTTCGATGATGCGTGCACATTCGTGAATACACGTCGTACGTAAAGCGAGGAAAAAGGATATTGTCCATGTCGTATCCTTCAATCCTTTTCCTCACCATTCAATGTTCTCTCTCATATCTCTTCATCAATGACTGATTAAATGATTGATCGACGCCTGAACGATTATATATATTTGGTTGAACAAATTTGCTGACACTAACCTATAATAAATCGTAAGGAATTAATTATATTTTAAAAAAAGAGGTTATAGAAATCGATAATCCTCGATGTAATCCAAACGAGAAAAAAATTTTAAGCATTAAAAGAGAAAACTATAATGACAGGAAATATGATTCTTACTGATGATTTTTGTAATTTGTGAAATGTTTTCTTCTTTCTCGTTTATCTATATTGAATCTTTCTCTTTATGTGTCTTTCTTCACATTTATATATATATATATATATACATATATGTATATATCATAGTTCAAAAAATAGTTCAAAAGAAAATTCTCTTTGCATTATCTCTATTTTACCATATCCGCTAAAAAATATCTTATTCAAAGCAATATCGATTACACAATCCTGATTACGCGCGAGCAAGACCAAAAGCAGACACTTACTTGTTTGCGGAGCGGCGTGACACATTCGTCCTTGGTACGCTCAAAGCGCTCAAACTTGAAGCTGTTGCTGCGGTAGAGCTCGTTGTCGCTCTGTTGCCTCCTGCAGAGCCGTCGCGTGAGCGCGCGCGGCCTGCAAGGCGCACATTCGGTGGCGAGCTCCCAGTGCAAATGCAGCATCGCGAGCTCGGCGGTGCAACGTGCCATGGCGCAGCCGGCGCGCCTCACGCGGCATTTAACCCGCTTGATGCGGCCTTCAGGCTGCGGTTTATGGCCGCAGGGCTGCGTGCCGTTGCAGTTGCAGTCAGTGCACGTGCGGCGCGTACGGCGCGTTTTGACCGTATGCGAGCACGGCTTCGCCTCCTCGCCACACTCGCACTCACACGGCGCCTCGCCGCCGCCTGTGTGGGCGCAGCTTGATCTTTCGTCGGCGCACTCGCACGGCTGCTGCTGCTGCTGCTGTTGCAGCTGCAACTGCGTGGAGGAGATAGGGGAAGATGAGGACTGTGTGGCCGCTCGGCGACGAGTACCAGCACCGCAGGTTGCGTGACGGCAAAAACGATCCGCGCACTCGCATCTGTAACAAAGAATGTATTAAGAATGTAGGTATTATACGCATTTTTTAACAAAATAAAAAGTTACACAGATTTTTCTATATCGTATTTAAAAATTGTACAAAAAATTTGGCATCAATTTAAAATCTAGGTAAAACCTAGATGAATTATTTTGATCAAAAAATATGTTTTTAAAAAATAATTGGGATAAAATAAAAAAATAAACTATGATATTGTTAAATATAAATATTGACTGCATTGAACTCTTTCGTATGTATTTATGTAACATTTATTTTTATACACTGAGAAAAAATGCTGTTGATTCAATTAAAATCTATATCACTAACATAAGTGATTAATTCATATATATTTTTATTGACATAAAGGCCTTGATTATTGAAATAATAATTTATGTCCGTAATATAGAATTTAATTGAATCAACAGCATTTTTTTCTCATTATACGAAAAGTATAAATTTCCAATTCTTCATTAATTCACTTTTTAGAGAAATTATACACCTGATACATTCTTAACGAGTGTAAAAAGGATGAATTTGCGAAAAATAACAAATAATGCCAAGTTAGGTAAATATTAAATCAAAAAAAGAACTTTCTATCTTTTCTATCTCTGAAATTTTTAACTTTTAAATTTAGGCTTAAATTCTAAGCAGAAGACTCGTAACATTTTTTTATGAGATCTGTAAGAATTTTTAAGTGCTTATATCTTTATACAATATTTTTACAAACAACTTTTTATTAACCATAAAATTTGCAAGAAATAGATATTTATAAATAATCGTACATTTTACGATATATATGCATAAAATTAAAATCTTAACTATTATAAATTCTTATAAGTTTTATACGTTATGAGTTTTAATCTTACGATTCTGTTTAGAATTGACCCATTAGATTAAAAATTATATTAAAACATTTGATTGCTTTATTTCAAGCCATATGAATTGTAAACGTTACTACTTTTGAAGCGTCCGCGTATTGATTTCTTTCTTTCTGAGATTTAAATACTATACCTTAAGCAATTATACAAGTGTCTAAATATTAATCGAAAACATTGATTTTCACATAACAGTCGCGACATATTTCGTCCGAGATACTTGACAGCTGTAAGTTGGACTTCAAAAGTCCTATTGACTATTGGAAATGTTATCTCGCACAATGATAAAACGGAAAGACTCCGCTCGAAAGTAGAAAGAAGATCAGAATATGATTGCTTGCATATGATTATATCGCGATTGAATTTCAGATTATCCAGATAATTGCATTGTGAATTGACGTCATTAATTTCATAATTTAATATTTTTCTTATTTTGATAAATTATTTCTTGATTAGAGATAAACTATTTCTTGAATTTCTTGCGCTTTCCATATTTCTTAATAAAATTTTTTCATCAATAAATTTATCTATCCAATACAAACATTGTAATTTCCCGTATTTATTTATACATAACAAATTAATAGTGTGTAATGTATAAATTACAATAATTACGAGAAACACCTTGATTCGTAATAAATTCATGTTAATATATCCATAAATGCGCACGTACAACAAATAATATATATTTACTCTGTAATTTAATAAAATTACAAGCGAGTTACTTTGTTCATATTTATGAGCCAAAAATGGAAATAAATATACAATCTCTGTATAATTCGTCGTAACACGTGGCATTTTATAAATCAATATTTCAGCATTCTCGAAAAGAAAAGAGATAAAAGGACCGTGCGAATTGGCATTCTCGTCTTCAGACAGACAATTTCCTCCGTTAAACCGACATGAAAATGCTTTCAAACGTTGCATTTCGCCATCGTGAAAGCTCTTCCATATTAATTCTACTCATACACAGATGAGGTAATTGCCTTGTTTATTCTACAAATGAACAGCTGCGTCAACCTCGGATAAGTTTGACTACCGAGTGAACCTTGGCAGGTCCACGAGTTAACTATACTAGTTACTTACTTCCGCCTAAAATCTGCTTACGATTAACACAAGCCAACAGCATATTAGCTCCTGACCTTTACTATATACCTTCCACCCCCTTTTACTGCGATCTTCAAAATGCGATCTAGCTTTATGTAATCGATCATCTATCGATATCTATCGCCATCAAATTATACCGAAAATTATCAATGAAAATTTCACGAACAAAAAAGGTTACGATTTAAAAAAATTTATAGATGTGAAAAGATATACGATAAAACTGGAACACTATAGATGTAATTATTGCTCCTTATTTCCACTCTTATCGATCGAACGAAATAATCCAAAATTCCAAAGGATACCATCAACAATAGTTTTTCAGAAAAATTTATTACGATACAATGCCATGAATATCAACAATTATCACCGGAAGGTCATTGGTCAACAAGTGCTATCGACCGAATAAAGCGGTCTCTTCCATTCTATCGCGATAGCAATAATTGGAATCGCACCAACCTACCCCAATCTTCACAACCTACCCCAGCAACAACACAGCCAGCTGGTCTTTATCGTAGGGTGGAATAGATAATAGGAGCTATTACGTCGTCATTAATGTACCTTCTGATCCTTCGCAGAACTGATCCTCGCTGTACATGCGGACAGGGCTGCGATTCCGGCGGACAGTCGCAGCTGACGGTGGCCGCGGCGGCAGCGGCGGCGGCGGCGGCAGCAGAAGCACCAGCCGGCCGAGTACGACGAACCCTGATTAGCACTGGATGCACCGGGCACGGCTGCACTTGACAGCCACAGACGATGGTCTGGGGTCCGCCGCCGGAACTACTGCGGGATTTACGGCCGCCACCGCCGCGCTTCGCGCGTTGGTCCACGTGCAACTGGCACGGCTGCACGGGGCAGCCGCAACGAGCCGCGGCACCACGACGCCCGGCACCCTGTACGCGTCTCCACACCCGCTCCATTCAAAGACCGGCGTGCGACTGACAATCAGCCGCCCCACACCATCGTCAATCCGGCGGATCGCGCGGGCGCGCGACTGCTTCGATCCTTTCCGCGCGACCTCGGTCGTCCTCGGCTCTCCGGGGGATGATACCCTCTTCTGGTCGACCGTTGCGTTGTATTGCGCACTGGTCCACGTTACCTCCCTCGCGCCTTCGTACTGTGTGGCTGACGTTTCTTCCCTCCAAATGCGCGTGGGCGCACGGACAAATCCGGGCGTTTACCCTGAGTGAAGGGTCACCGATGACTTCTTAGTGAAATCTCGCTCGGTAATGTCTTACTTTGATATAAGCGTGAATTTGCCTCCGAGTTTTAGAATCGGAAAAATCTTAGTAATGCAACATGATATAAGAAAATATATAAATATGCATGTTCATTTTTAATCTAATTCCAGACTGAAACTTTATATACATATATTAGAGAATTTTTAAAGATGTCTAAAAATTTTTATTTACAAAAATTTACAATAGTTATACAAACATGATTGTGTTATCTATATAAAAGTATACATCCCCAGAAAACATTAAAAATAATCTTTTATTAATAATTATTAAGCAAAGAAACGCTCCTCATTTTTCTATAAAATTAATTTTAATTCATTTTATAGAAATGATGTTAAATTGATCGTGTTGTACTTAAAACCGAAGCAGCAAATATCTGCTGTAGAATTCGTGGTATATTTTTCAAATCCATGCACACAAACGCGCGACCAGAAGGCATTTTCTTTATCAATCTAAAAATAATATGAATATTTTAACTAGTATCGATAGTATCGATAGTATAATCAATAATAAGATGATAAAATTTTATTTATTTGTTAAACTACCTGCTCGCTTGATCACCCAACGATCCAATAAAAATAGCGTAGGCATTTACATCTGGATTAGACGTTAATAATTTTGCAAATCGTTCAGGAGAAATCCCGTAACGATCTAGATTCGCATCCGAGAGTACAACTACGATAGACTCGTCAGAATCCTCTTTCGCCAGACTCGCAATTGCGTGCTGCGTCGCCTGTAATGTATTATCGCCGGACGTGCAAAATTGCGAGTGAGCGTGCATCGTCTGCAAAGACAAATAATGGCTCGTTAATTAAATCGCATGGCTTATCTTTCCATGAAAAAAATGGCAAAAACAAATCTACTCGCCTTAATCACCTCCAGTCTTCGTTTATTGTCCGTTGGCGGTTGCGTGAGATCGACAAAGATAATACGGTAATCGTCGCCGGAATGGCCAACAATGTCGTATTGAAATTTACCTTCGTAGCCACTGAAAGCCTCCATTACCATGACACAGGCCTCCAACTCGCGATCCAATCGACCATCGTAGCCGTTGAATCTGTACATACTGCCAGATACATCCGCGACGAGTTTCAGTCGCTTCGGCTTCAACTGGGGAGCGCCGATCTCCGGTTCCTTCTCCGTTCTACGCCGATAAATCGTTTTTTCACCTGTTAATCCTTCGATTAACTTCGTGTCGTCCAGCTCGCCCGACGTCTGATGCCTGCACCATTGCCGCTCGTTGCTCTTCGCCTGCAGCGTGCCTATAAATAGTACACGAGCGTGCGGCACATAATAAGAAATACTGATTTCCATAAAAGCCATATTCAGAGCTTAGGACGCTCACCTAATATGACCCTCAAGGTCTGCACTTGATTATGAACCGCGTCGCTGAACTGAGAGTATAGCTTGTGGTCGTATTCGCTCATTTTTATGTCCTTGAGTCGCTGCTTGAATGCTCGAAGACCCATCTCGCGAGCGGCTCTCTTTATATGTTCCGGCACTGCATTTTTCTCCTCGTCACTTAGTTGATGCACTGTGTGTCCAGCGTCCAAACGATATGGACCTCCTTTTCCGCCCAAACCCGCCGTATCTCTGCCTAGAATACATAGAATTTCATGTATTCTGTTGTAATATTGATTGATGATTAAGCGAAAAAAATAATATTTTAAAGCAGTGATGTACAATCTGCGGCTCAGCTGTGAATTTTTTTTCAGTCCGTTGACTCATAGTCAAAATATAAAATAATATTTCATAGTCAAAATATAAAATAATATTTTATTACGAACAAAATAAATATCATACGGAAGATTTTATTTAATTCTAAAAATAGTTCTTTGAAAATGATTTAAAAAAAAGATCTCATCTAATTTTAAAAATAGCTCTTTAAAAAATAACTCTTTAATAAATGACTTAAAAAAAAAAGATTGCGCATCACTGCTTTCAAGTAACAATATGTAATTTTCCTTTAAATTTTATCTTATTCATTATCTTATTTGAATATACTCGTACCTCCAGTTCCCCCGGCCCAAGTATTGCCACCTACGTGTGGTTCATTATTCTTATCGACCTTTCCGTGTTTCGGCCCGCTGACATCCTGCCCCGAATACCTCTCTTTAGTGATCTGCATGTTTTCCTCATCGGCGCCTATCATTTTACGCCACGCACCTAACGACTTTTCTATATCCGTAATGGATGTCTCCCATAAACGAACGCAACCACCGGCGTCTATTATGACGAGACCTTCGTTCGACGTAAGTGACGCATAAAGCGGAAGATCCTTCGCATACAGCCATTGCGTCAATGGCGAGACATTAACCGGTCTGCGTAAAAGAGATTTAATAATTTTTCTGAATTGTTCTATCGGAAACGATAAATGCGCAATAAGCAAAGGTATACAAGGTGTTCGTGAACTAGTGATACAACTAGTGATACAATAAGTATAATATAGGTGATTATATGTGAAAAAATAAATCGAGAACGTAATATATTTTCATATAAGGTTTATATTTTTGAGAAAATCAATTTTTAATATTAAAAAAAAAATCTTATAGTAGATTACTGTCCATGTTTGTGTTTATTACATTAAGTAATCAAACCTACACATTAAGATATTCACGCATGATTATTATTTTATAAATTGTTAAAATGTTGCTTATTCTGTCAAATACACAATCTCTTCAAAGTAGATTTCTATTAATGTTTTCTAACATGTTTCTTGAATTTATTAATTAAATCTGTATTCTCGGCATATATTTAAGTCATATTGAGAAAAATATTCTGATCGTACCAACAAAGAAAATAAAAAAAAACTCTGAATCAGAATCAACTCGTATGAATCAGAATTCTGGTTATCACACAATTAAATTTCTGGTTACCACGATTAGAATGTTTGATAGATTTAATTATAAGTATTTAATTTGTACCTTTTTGATTGAATCTATCAGAATTCCAATTAATGCAAGATTTTGTTTTCATTTTCTTAAAAATAAAGCCCCATATGAAAAAAAAATTATTCTACGTTTTCGAACTATTTTTTCATATAGAATCACCCCCTTCTCAATTAAATTACCAGTTCACGAATATCCCATATATACAGCATTTTAGAATAGTGTTATTTTTTCAAAGATATTAAAAATGTAAATAAAGTGCTACAACTCTCATCTTTTATGATATGATCCTTGTATTTGTCGCAGGTTTACTTACTCTGGAATAGGTATGTATCGCAGTTTATGGTTTACCGTGTCGACTATCTCTAAATAACCGGAAATTCCCATATGTTTTGTATCTTTTGGATAAACCTCATCGGGTACTTGATTGGGCGAGATCGTTCTAATTATTTGTCCATTCTGCGTAATGATGGGCGTTATGAAGCTGCGCGTTCTTCCTCTCCTTGGCCAGAAATGCAGCTCGTTAGAACTATCTAAATCGGGAAATCCCGTCACTATACCGGCGTACGTATTATCGGTCACCAGGAGTCTATTTGGACAGTCTATTTTCTGCTGAAGAGCTTTGCTCAGCTCCGTTTTACTCAGACTACTGTTACCACAATTCAAGACACTGCCGGTCTTTAAATCAACGCTGTTAGATTCATCCAACTCGCGTAACACATTCGGGCACAGGTCGGAATCCGAGGATTTCGTAAGAATGTATTTATTCTTCGACGCGTCCTGGATTAACCATTTTCTATTGGACGCGAGTAAGACTGATTCGATGTTGCATGGCAAACTCATCGAGTAAGCACACATGTTTTGTAAATCGACAACTTCGATTTTGTCGTGGTCTTGTGTATATAAGACAATCAAATTATGCGATGGGAGTAGATCTGCCTTCATCTTCCATTGAAGATTTTTGCTCCTGAAGACGTTCGATATTTTATCGGCGACATCCAGAAAGGTTGAAAACTGCAGTTCTCGAACCGAACCTTCGTTTATATTTATCACAAGTATAGAATTGCTCTAAAACCGATCAAATGCGATAAACGTTGCCATTGAACAAACGCGATTTGCATCCCTACTGAAAAGAATCATACAGTGATGAAATCATATAATTAAAACATGTAAGTCACGTATTGAATTGTTCTAAATCAATACGTGATTTTTTAAAATTACGTAATTTGAAAAGCCATATAATAATATGTTCTTTTTTCTTTTATTCTTATTATTCAATTCTTTAAAATTCGATGATTATAAAATCACATGATGGATGAAATTATTTCTAATATCATGTAATATTATTTCTAATATCATTTTTCAAATTACATCATTTAAAAAAAATCATGTACTGATTTGGAACAATCCGTTACATGTTTTAATTATATGATTTCATTACATGACATGATTTTTTGCAATAGGGATTACTAATTTCTTAC